ACTTTCCTTTGATAACAACACTGATATCAAGGCAAGTGTGCAATAGGGGCACAGATGACCCAGGGGCTGAAGGGCCCAGGACACCAGAATCTGCAGACATCGACTGTCTGGGTCAACACTGGTGTAGGTCTCCCTAACTGCCACAGTCCAGCACAGCACAGGCTTCAGGATCAGAAAGACCTGGGGTTTGTTTGCATCCCAGTTTCATCTTTTGCTGGTGTGTGTGGCCTTGGGGAAATTAAACTCTGTCCCAGTTCTTGGTAAAATGTGGATGGAGCTGGAAAGGATTAGGCTCAGTGAAATTACCCAGAAGAAAAAAGAATAATATCAGATGATTTCATTTCTAGGCATACAGGGGAGCCAAATAAGGGATCAGGAAACAAGTAATAAAATAAATTAAAAACCAAAATTAATAGGCAACTATAACCAGAGACATTCTGCAGGGGGAAGAGGAAAGTGGGATCAACACAGGGGAGGGAACAGCCCAAGGGATTATGGCGATGGTGCACAGATGAATTTCTAGAACTAAGCTGAGAGGAGAAAGCAAACATCGTCCAGAAACGAACAATGATGTGAAATGTGTATTAATACAACAAAAAATAACAACATAAATAAAACTGTTACAAGAATGAGAAAATGTAGCACACGTGGGCTCAGGGCTGAAGCCGAAGCAGACAGCAAATCAGTTGCTTTCATCTCCTCTGATCCCCTTTTCTCAAGCACACGCACCCACCACCGGCACATCAAGCCACCATTCCCACATAATGCAGATACAAGGCACATCCCAATTGCACTTTTTCAGACAGGAGGGCTCAAATGCCTTTCCACCAGAGGTTCCTAAATTCCCTGACATGCCCAATCATATTTGACTCTGCATCTGAGTGTTGGGTATCTCTTCAGAATTTTTTCTTGCCCTCAGCATACCTTGTCATTTTTTTAATCGAACATCAGACATGTTGCACCAGATAATAGGAACTGAGGTAAACAGGACTTACGAGTACAGATTTATGGTAACCCAACTAGGGAGCTGTTTAATGTTTGCTGTAGTTATAGATACCAAAGGCTTCAAATTCCTCTAGTGTCTTTGCTTTTGTCACTCTTTCACTTTGGGTTTCCTTTCCCCAAATACCTCCTCAGCATCTGCCTTGCAGCTTTCCATTGTAATCTGCTGTGAGGCTCCCAGAGCCCTGTTTATGGCTGTACAGTGACAGGGAGGGGAGGATGGGACTCTAATCTCCAGATTAAATTTTAGTGTTCAAGTGGTCTGTGACCCTCCCAAGTGAAGTTCCCCCAGTAGTGCAGATGCCCCTCCTCGCCTTGGCTACAGTATCCCCAGTTTCTTTCCTCATCAGGATGCCTCTTAACAATGAGGTTTTCCTCCCTCCCCCAGGTGACACAGGAAGGCTGGAGGGGACTATTGTGGAAACAATGCTCTTCTCCAGCTGGGATAATGTTCTGGCAGTCTTTTACCCTGGAGAGCAGGTCTCTCTTAGATTTTGGGTGTATTTCACAGTATTTCATTTCTCCCTACTACAGCCACAGGATCTTTCTTGATCTACAAGATGGAATCTGGTGGGGTTCCCAGAGGTAAAGCCCAGAACAGCAAAAACCCCTTTAAGATCATGGGCCCAGGAATCTCCAGCTCCAGCTAGTCCGTACCCCATCTGCAGCAATTCAGTCACCAAACAAGCATTTCTATTATGACCCCAGCAACATCTGCCCTAAGATTGGCTGTCTCTAGGCTTGGGAGTGGTGGTTGACCCTGCAACCTCAATTCTCTGATTGGGTCTGATTTTCAGTGGTCCATTTTTTTGTTATAAGGACAAGGGTGCCAACCTTAAAGCTACTCAGGATGTGAGGGGGACATCAGACCTTCTTTTTTACTTTGAATGACCACCCTTACCCTCCATTAGAAACAACATGTTCCTTTGCCTTTATATTTGCCATGTTTCCTGCCTGGCAGCGCCAGTATCTTTTGATGATAGCGTTCATACACTGTACAGAAATGATGATGTAATGAATATATTAAAATTTTTTAAAAAATATTTTTTCCTTGGGGGGGGGGGAAGAAAACACAGAACATTGAGGTTCTTAAGGGCCGGTGTTTGATTGACTTCTTTTGTCTATAAGAGGACTTTGCACAGATAAAATCCTTAGTGTTGCTGGTCGATTTTATTGGCTTACTTGTATTTATGACATTCATTAGGAGAGTAATAAAAGTGTTTGTGCTAAGGTGTTAACCAGAATCTTCAAAATAGCCTTGTGTGTTTTTGAATTAACTTCCTGGTCTCTAAATCAAAGTTGTATTTTCTTAGCAAGGTTGCAATAAGGCACCCTTCACTTAGTGTAAATCAAGATTTACAAAACTAATTAGTCAAATCTGGTAAGTCCTGACTTTTTCCTTTTCCTAATGACTTACGTAGCAAGGTTAATATCAAATCTGACCAAATTCCAGGATATCAAAGGTTGTAAGCTAAGAGCCCAAACCTGGCAGGTTCAGAATTATCTGAAAGCTTTTAAAAACAGAGTCAGTCAGAGAGTAACTATAATATGCAGCTAAGTTTAGGAAAAATAAGATACTTCTGATCAATAAGCTTTTAATGTCTAAAAGTGTTTTTTGTACTCACTTAAAATTGTACTAAAAAACAAATCTTATCTGTCCATTCACTTATTTCAACCTAGAGGACAAAAGCAATGTTACTGAAAATCTATCCACCCTTTCATTCATTAAGTTATTTGGCACCAAGTAAAGGCTGGGTACCAAGCCACAGGCCCCTGTATGCCCAGAAGGCAGATAGGCCTTTAGTCTAAATCCAGAGAACTTACATCCTGGATTACTTTGCAGAACCTCAGTATTTTCCACTGTAAAGAAGAACACTTATTTGACAGGGAAAGTGTGACAACAAGGGAAGGCAAAGGAACTACTAAGGAAGATATATTCTATACTCCTAAAATGTCCCCCAACCTCTTGTCCAAACACTTGCATATTGCAGCAATTACAGCTGGCATTCACTAAGCACATTATGTATGACAGGCCATGTGCTGGCCTCTGTCCAGCCATACCTCAAATAAATTTATCTGTAAAGATATAGTGAGCAGTAGCCTCCTCCTTTAATTGGCTACATTCATTCTTATACCCCTAACAAAAGCAAAAGGAAGCAACATGCAACAAGACATGATCCAAATTAAGAATGATCCAAATTAAGAGCGTTGAGGATGGAAGGATGAGATGCTGCCCAGTCACCTCCCACTCAGGGTCACTCCTGAGGGTCATGATGACTGAACCTCCAAACAGGAAACCAAATACCAGATAAACCTATCCAGGAACTGCGGTGGGCTTAGGGTACCATCTGTTACTACTATTATTATATCTGATTACTACGGTCACCAGATAACTCTCACTAAGAACGTCCCTACCACAAACTATGCTGTCTGAGGATTTCACATTTAGTTCTCCACCACTGTAAGTTACTGAAGATACCACTTTATGACTGGCAGGGGTTGAGACAAGGCTCAGGGCCTGAGACTTTCACTGCCAAATTAACTTCTATTCTTTTAGGAAGAGGTGCACTAGCATTTAGGACCTCTTCTTATGTGGTTAGCATTAACAGCACTTGCATTTTTACTTCACAGGGCTAAAGGTGTAGTTTTACATAAATTATAGTTTCAATGCTCTTACAGGCAATGACATTGAGAAATACCTTCCTGCACTAGGCAGACAGTTGGAATATCCCAACTATTTGCCTAGCTTAAAACTTTCTGCTTTTTGGAGTATAATGGACAGGCGAGAAAATAACAAAAATAATGAGCAACCATATACCAGAGACATTTTGCGGGGGTGGAGTGGCGAATGGGATCAAAAACGGGGGTGGGGGTGGGGAGGTGGAGGAGTGGGGAGTGAAGTGCATGGGATTATGGTGATGGCACATGGGTGACATGCTGATGGGAAACCCGCGGGGATTACAATTGAGATGGAAAAAAAAACGTACAAAATGATGTAAAAATAAACTATTATAAAATTTAAAAAAAAAAACTACTAAAAAAAAACCTTCTGCTTTTTGAGAGAATGCCTGTCCTTACAAAATTGTGGTGAGGTAAAAAGTAAGCAGGCTAGAATAACCCATCCTAAACCACATTATTTGTCAGTAACTGATCAAAATCAAAAGAAACCCTTGCCATTGTTGACATTTTTCTGCTTTGGAGGTTGACTTGTGTGTTGTAGTTTTAGTAGCATCTCTAACATCTGCTTACTAGACTCCTGCATTTCCCAGTTTTGACAACCAAAAATATCTCAAGACACAGGCAAATGTCTTACTCCCCCCACCCACACCCCCAGGGAAGGGGGTATGAGAACAACAAAATCATGCCAGTTGCAAATCAATACTTAAGTCATCAGTTTAGCAAAGCCACCATTACTTGGTTCTGCATACCCCAAACTAACAGCATTTGATTTTACTTCTCTATTTCACTGAAACGCCATGTTGCTCAGCTTTGTACCTTCTTACAGTAATTCAGATGTTCAGTATTATGGGACTGTGAAATGTTACTTGAGCCTTATAAGGTAGCTCTGACTTCTTCCTATGATTTCCAACCTGCTTTGTGTACACCATACTTTGGCTAACACCTAAGTTGGTTTCTCCTCAAATGAACTCACTCATCTCTGCAGAATACACCTCTTGAGCAGGAGGACAAACATTTCTTATTGTGGGGTCAAATTCTAAGTCATAATGGCTTCCAAACCACCAGAGGTGCAGATTCAAGTTAGAGACCACATTCTGGCTGCAAAAGTCTGGTCAAAACGAAGCTTGGCCACAAGAAGCTGTGCACTTTCTAGTTTCTTATCTTCTCTGTTAAAGAGGATAAAAGGTGCCACTCTACCGAGGCAAATTAAAGAGAAAAGAATGAATTTGCTGACTAAGGATTATTACACACTTGCTAAGTTTGTTTAAACAAGTCACTCAGATGAAGTGGGGAAAAAAATTCTGAAAAACAGAAGGTAAGGTACTGACTTACCTTAAAAGGTCTTTTAAAAAGAATAACTTAAGATTATAAAGCATTTTTCAAATACACAGTGATTCATAACGATTCAATAAGCCTTAAGGAATGCTTTTTTTCAGTACATCACTTTTTGTGTTATTTAAAAGAAAATACCCCGTTCAAAGGGTGATGGCATATTTGATATCACCACAGTTTAAAGAGGAATGGGGTTACAGGAATGAGAAGTATATAATTAGTAAATAATCCCTCTCAACGAGTGAGTTAAGTAGTAAAGCTATGGAGGGAGAAAAGAAAAGCCGGAGACAGCACAATCAGTGCATATCAGAAATGCATTTTTATTTTTATTTGAAAACAACTTAAAATTTTAGACAAATGATCTTAGTATATAAATTTGATTTTGTTTTTATACGGAATATAAAGACTTCCCTCACTGATCTTCCATGTGAAGGATATAACAGCCTGAAGGGAGATACTTTCTGCACACAAGTGTGTAACTTGCGTCCACGGAACTGGAAACCAGTGGTGTAGTGCTCCTACACATAACTTAGGTCAAGTGGCATCACGTATTAAAAAGGGTAAAAGAGAAATATTCTAGTTAGTCAGATTCAAGAAGCAAACATGACACAAAAACCTGTGCAGATAAGACCAAGTCAGTAACTTTAGTTAGGACACTGCAGAATATACTGGAGTAACAGGTTGGTGAGGCTATAGTGTGCACCACATTAAAACAGCAAGGAAGAGCTATTTATACAGAAAGGCTGGAATGAGGGATTTCCACTAAAGCAAATTAACTTCTTGTCAACTGCCAAAACAAAACAAAATAAAACAAAATTGAGCACATGAGTGTTAGTATACTGAAGGCATGTTATACCAGTTTCTGTGCAGCATGCTAAAGTTAGTTAGAACTTCTTCACTGGTGCATATGAATCATTTATAGTCACAGGAAAGTTTTTCTGCCCCTTCTTGCTTAATTTCAGGCATGTCTTATCTTAGATGGCGTATAACTTTTATCTATAATTTCATCCTGTAAAAACATGTGAAGACAACGTTCATTCTGTGCCAGAGGATGTCCAGCGACCCTAGGAATAAAAATACAAATTTAGTTCCATACTTTATGGGAGAGAGAAGGGTCAACACATATTTTAAGAATAAGGAGCACATAAAATCTAGTAGAAGAAAACCCCAAATACTAAGAAATAAGCACAAATGCCCATGGCTTTTCCCTTTTTGTATGGTTATAATTTTTTTAGTCTTTTTGTTTTTTGCTTGCTTTTAAAGGTCTCCACAAAAAACTTAAACATAAGAATGGATTGGGCAACTGGACTTTTCAGAATTAAAAAATATTGAAGCTAGTACTACCATCTCCAAAAGGAAAAGTATATTTAAAAAAAAATACAATGAGGCCCTCCCTGGTGGCGCAGCGGGTTAAAGCACAGCACTGAGAATCTGAAGCCACTTCCGCATGAGTTCGATTCCCGCCTGCCCCGGAGGCGACCACATGGCGAGCCAGACCTCTCCTGACCCGCCCGCTGCTTCCCTCAGCAGTGTACTTCATCGATCTGCCTGTTCTGCTCCCCACTTTGTCTCTGGTGAAGCCTCTCACCGCCCCTGAGCCTCTGGCCTGTACCCCAGTTCTGTATGAATAAATAAATAAATTTAAAAAAAAAAAATACAATGAAGGTTGTATGCTACAGGTGATAACTCGAAGGCTTTTGTGTAACTCTCCTTCCTGTTTATCACTCACAGATGTCAAACATCACTGGAGATTAAAATCAAAGTGTTGCTAATAAGGAAACTCAAACAAAACTGTATTCTTTAGGATATGATCTTACTGTGGTCAAACTTAAGGCCAATGTACAATTATAATGAGTTCTTTCTTGGTATAATTCTTCCTATTATTTGGCCTTTAACGAATGGCTGTATTTCAAATGGGAATCAAATTAAAAGCTAGAAATTTTCAGCTGCACTTAAAGAATATATTTTGCTATGAAAATTTGACATGCGGGTAATACCTCCATCTGCAAACAAATAAAATGATTGCCAAGTATATTATAAGTTTTATTGTTCACACTAGAACATACCTTAAATCAGAAAAAAATTGTAAGTAAAACTGTATTTTTTAAATGGTGTAATTTTAAATGTAATTTGCATAAATTAACCAAGAAACACAAATACAAAACTTAGGTCAACTTGGAAGATACTCATTTTCAATCACTCAAGTGTGTTAATATTTATCACATGATATTTAATTGTTATATGCTTTTGTTAAAATGATACCAAAAATTAGTTAGGAAATGGTCAAAAACAAAAGTATTACCACAGTTTTAACTTGTACCTAAATTACTAGTAGTCATCTAAAGTTATCTCAAAACACTATCCATTCTCACACAAGGAGCTGAAAGTACTTACTTGTTTATAAACTGCTCCAGCCCCTGCTTCCTTTCTTCAATAAAGTTGTCATCAAATATTCCATCATCTCCCCTAAAAGGAAGCTGACGCAAAAATGCTTTCCCAGGAAGAGGGGGAACTACAACCTAGAGCAACATAAGGAAAGGAAATTCTTGAAATGTGCAGGCTGTGATTATCTGTAGAATACAACATGAAATTAAAGTATATCTTCACTGAAGAGTAGTCCCCCTATCCATTTAAATATAAAAGGGAATCAGTGAGAAAACATATTGAAAAAAGATCCCATATTTTGGAGGCAAGATAACCAAATGCAGAACAGCTCATCAGACCAAAGTTCCACGGTGTCAGGGCCGCAGGGCCGAGAGCTTATCATTTTTCCTGAACTTATCAATGCATAGTTATACAAAAAGAACATTCAGGCAATACTGAAACATGTCTCTCAGACAGTTTTGGTGCCACTCAGGAAAGACAATGCTTTATTTCAAAGGAAGCTACAGAGATCAAAATCAACTCTCAGTGAAACGAAGAAATAAAATAATAACATTCTCTCTGGCATGGGCACAAAAGAACTCTGTGGTTAACTTCTTCCACTTCCTACCACCTGCAAGTAAGTCTTTCCTATATTTTCTGAGGTGATGATAATTGTTGCCTCTCTGTTTTCTAGGCTAAGAAAGAGTCAAACTTTCTCTTAACTCCCTTAACCCTATCTCCCCCAAAGATATGATCTCTTCTTGTCCATTGCCTAAGAACTTCCCAAACTCCCTTTAAAGCCTACTATCCTCTTAGGGTCAACCTATACTGATCCCCCTTCCCCCTCTCCCCCCCATTATCTGGAGCTCAAATATTTGAATTATATAACACCTTTTTATTTCACAGGTTTATTCTGTTTCTATACCCCAGGGTTTCTTCAACCAAGGTATCATTAACATTTTGAACCAAATAATTACTTATATGTGTGTTTCTTCTACGTTATTGACTATTTAAGAGCAGTTTAAGCTTCCAGCTACTAGAAGCCACCAGTAGCACCCTCTAGTTGTGGCAATAAAAAATGTCTCCAAACACTGGTAAATCTTTCCTGGTGGACAAAACTGTGCCTGATGAAAAACAAATAATCTATCTTATTAATGTCTTCAAATCAAGGGCCTTAGATTTCTTATGGTCATTTTAAGAAAACCAAGGCATACAACAGAAGTTCAAGTATCAGTTAAATAACTAACCACGCTGGTAGAGCCCTAGTTTACATCAATACTGAGAAAATGTGTAAGTACCAACTTAAATAAGGAGAACTATGAACAGTAAACTACAGGAATACAAAGCACACATATTCTAATCCAGACAAAACTTAAACACTTGATGCAGAGTTTATGTAAATAAGGATGGAAAAAGGGCAAGATCAACACAACTTCACACAGATTAGCAAAACAAAATAGAAGCAGAAAAGCAATTACTAAATCGAACACCTAGCATAAACTGTAACTCCAAATGACCAGTGATGAAGACATCTAAAGATTTGTCTCTGTAAGTCTATTTTAGCATTTCTGACTCTCCCTGTGTTAGCATTTGCCAAGTTGAGAATTAAAGTCCAAAGGAACCTTACAATTGAGAAACAAGTCTCATGACCACTATTAAATTCTAGTTAAAGTGGCATCTGGTGGTCAGGGGAAACATCTGTAGCTACAGAATTTAGCAGAAATTAAGATTCCTAATATTATCATTTATGGAAACCTTCTTAACATAATACTCAAAATAGTCATAAAATGGATGGTAAACATGAGAATAAACCCACAAAGACCATGAGTGGCTTGCCACACTAGAATTCCAAAGATCATCTTCAATGTCAAGTTATTTTTGCCTTGTTAAGCAATTTGAAGAGAACTAGTCTGAATTCTTACACCAATATAAAAGTCATGAATCTGAAGATATATGCATGTGTAGGACAGAAACAGAAAGGATACTTGCTCAAAATAATAAAGCTAAAGTCAAAGCATAGTAAAAATTAAAGCTAGCCGTAATGTTTACTAGTTATAATGTCACCTACTTACTAGACTAGTATAATAGATTATAGTTAAAAGTACTAATATAGAGAGAAAATAACTTGATCAAATACCAAAGCACCCACGATACTAAGTTTGGTCTAATATTAAAAATGAAGTACTGTGTCTCAAATGACACCAAAAAGAAAGTAAAAAATAAGCCACAGAATGGGATAACTTTGTAAACCACATATAATAATAAAAGACTTCTAAGACCTTTTAAAATATTCTAAATCCTAAATAATAAAGATAACACAATTACTTGGCAACAGATCTAAATATATATATATATATATCCCTAAAGAAGATATATGAATGGCTGATAAGCAAATTAAAAGATCACTAACATCATACCAATCAGGAAAAATGAAACCCAAAACCACTATGAGATACCACTTCACAGTTACAATAGTTATTATAAAGACAGATGAAGTCATGGAGAAAAGTGGACCCCCTTATATACTATTGGTAGGAATGTAAAAAAAAAAAAATTGTACAGCTGGCAGTTTCTGAAAAGGTTAAACACAGTTAGCATATGACCCAGTAAACCCACTCATAATGCTATACCTAAGAGAAATAAAAATATATATTTAGACCAAAAGGCTTATATGAATGTCCACAGTAGCCTTATTCATAATGGTTGAAGAGCAAGAAACAAAAAAACTCTTATGTCTACCAACTGATGAATGTACATCTATACAAAAGACTATTATTTGGCAATAAAAAGAAATTAAGTACCAACAATGTTAAAAGAAATTAGGCACAAAAAACTGCATAGTCCATGATTCTGCTTACACCATATGTTCAGCATAGGCAACTACATAAAGAAATGGGTAGTGCTAGGCCCTCCCTGCTGGTGCAACAGGTTAAAGCACAGCACTATGAAGCTATCACAACCATGGCAGCACAAATTCAATCCCTGCCAAGGAGGTGACCACATGGCTTGGCAGACCTCTCCTGACCTGCCCGCTGCTCCCATCAGCAGTGTATATCAGTGGATCTGCCTGTTCTGCTCCTCACTCTGTCTCTGGTGAATCCTCTCACCCTGCACCCGCACATCTCTGGCCTGTACACCAATTCTGTATACATAAATAAATAAATCTTAAAAAAAAAAAGATAAAAAATAAAAAAACACAAAAGAAATTGGTAGTGCCCACTAATGGTTTTCTTTTTGTGTTGTGACTGAAATGTTCCAAAATTGAATGTAGTGGTGGTTTCCAACCATTGAAATGTATATTGTAAAAGGTTAATTATATGACATGTGAATTACATATCAATAAAGCTGTTCCTTTTTTTTTTATGCTTATAGAACTGGGGTACAAGCAAGAGGTGTGGTGGGTGAAAGGATTCACCAGAGACAGAGTAGAGAACAGAACAGGCAGATTGACAAAGTACACTGCTGAGGGGAGCAGTGGGAGGGTCAGAAAGGGTCTGCCATGCCATGTGGGTCAGCTCCCTGGCCGGGGATTGAGCTCATGCTGCAGTGGCTTTGGGGAGCTTCATAATACAGTGCCTTAACCCACTGTGCCACTAAGGAGTGCCCCTAAAGCTGCTACTTTTTAAATTTTATTTTTAAAAAAGCTTTATTTACTGCTGCATACAAGAATTGGGGGTACAGGCCAGAGGTGCTGGGGTCAGGAGGAAAGAGTTCACCAGAGACAGAGTGCGGAAAAGAACAGTTGAACTGCCTGAAATACATTGCTGAGGAGGGCAGCGGTCGAGACAGGAGAGGTCTGCTGCACCATGTGGGTCACACCTCCCTGGAGAATGTAATGTAAGCTGCAGGGGCTAACTATATAGCTTGATAGCACTGTCTTTAACCCCTGTGACACCAGAGAGACCCATACATTCACCAAATGTTTATTAAGCACTCCATTGTGCTTAATCATAGTTATAATAGTGATAGGTTCTGTGTTAATGTCCCAGCACAGTACATAGTTAACAATATTGAACTGTATATTTAAAAGTTGGTATGAGAAACTCTTAAATATTCTCAACAAACAACAATACCAAAGGACCTCCCTGGTGGCACAGAATTAAAGACAGTGCTATCAAGCTATTAGCAGCCACTAAAGCACGAGTTCAATCTTGGCCAGCCAGTGAGCCAGCCCTTATGGCACAGCAGACCTCTCCTGTCTCAAGCTCCGCTGCTCCCCTCAGCAGTGTATTTCAGTCAGTCTGTCTCTTCTGCCCCCCAACTCTGTCTCTGGTGAACCCTCCCAAGCCCGCCTAGCACCTCTGACCTACACCCCAGCTCTTGTATGCATAAACAAATAAACATTAAAACATCCACACACAAACTCTCTACTATGATCATAAAAATTTTCATTTTTAGTATATGTGCCACTGAAGCAAAGCACCATAAAAATTTTCATTACCCAAAACTCTCCTAACTTGTTTGGCACATTTAGACCTTTGAACCATCTGTGATTCATATACAGTGAGTTAAAAATCTTTATTCCTAAATGGACACCTGTTTCAACACTGCTTATTAAATATAATTCCTTTGCCCCAACTGACATTATTTTTGTTGTGAATTAAACTTTCAATAAATGCAAAGCTTCCAAATTCAATTATATTTCACTTATTTGTTTGAACATTCCTAAAGCAATATACCACAGTTTTTAATCACTACAGCTCAATATGTTGACAACACTTTGTTTTTGAGCTATCTGATTCTAAAGCTCACATATAAATCCACAAGTTTATAAAGACCCCACTAAGATTCTATTTGAAATTTATAAATTTATGTAAGCTAGAAGCTACTGCCTTACTGCTATCAGCAGTAAGGCGAAATGTCACCTTTAAGTGAAGTCTTTTCTTGGCCACATTATTAAATGAGAGTAGCTCTCCAGGTGCCCAATCCCTGTTTCCCTTAACTTTTGTTTGTTGTTTGTTTTAGAGGACATCGGCATACGGCATTCTACCTTTTTTTCCTGCTTTCCCTTTACCATCACCTCAGCTTACTAAGTAGAATATAAGCACTATAAAATTTGAAGCCATAATTTGTTCACGTTCTAGCTGTAATTTTTAGAAACACACAGAATGAATTCTCAAATATTTATAGGGTAAATGAATCTTTAAAAAGAGAATATTCTATAGACAATCCAGAAATAAACCCACATGCTTATGGACAACTACTCTTAAGGGAGCAAAGAATAGGCAATGGAACAAGGAAAGTTTGTTCAATAATCTGTGCTGGGAAAACTGGACTGCTACACGCAAAAGAATGAAGCTGGACCATTACCTCACACCATGCACAAAAACCAGAAACCATAAAATATATAGAAGAGAATACAGACAAAATACTACCATACAACTCAGTAACATGTTTAAAGACACCTCCCCAAAGCAAAGAAAGTGAAGGAAAAGATGAACATCTGGGACTATATCCAACTAAAAAGCTTCTGTACAGCAAGAGACATTAACCAAAACAAATAGACACCCTAATGACTGGGAGAAAATTTTTGCACACAACTGATAAGGGACTGATCACACATATCTATGAAGAGCTGATGTGACTTAACAAAAATAAACAATCTAGTCAAAAAATGTGCAGAAGAGCTAAAAAGACATTTCTTCAAAGAGGAAATGCAAATGGTCAACAGATAGATGAAAAAATGTTCAACATTGTTGTTAAGGAAATGCAAATCACAACTACACTGAGATACCACCTTACACCAGTGAGAATAGCACATATTAAAAAAACAGAAACAACAAATGTTGGCAAGGATGTAGAGAAAAAGGAACTCTCCCACACTGCTGGTGGGAAAGCAAACTGGTCCAACCACTAAGGGAAGCTGTGTGAAGGTTCCTCATACTACTAAACATGGAGTGTCCAGAGTCTGTCTGGTGGTACAAGGGGTTAAGTCTCTTCACTATCAAGCTATCACCAGTCACTGCAGCACAAGTTTGATCCTGGGCCAGGGAGCTGACATGGTGCAGGAGACCTCTCCTGTCTTTCCTGCTGCTCCTCTCAGCAGTGTTTTTCAGTAGATCTGCCTGTTCTGCTCCCTACTCTCTCTGATGAATCCTCTCACCACCTACTACCCCTCTGGCCTATACTCTAGTTCATCTATTCAAAAATAAGTAAAATAAATCTTTTAAAAATATGTAAGTATTACCCTAGTGTGAGTCAGCAAAGGTCTCCATTAGCTCACTGAAGTAAACAAAAGAAAGAAGAGAGTTGTAAGAAAAATTACAAAGATTTCCCCCATCTTCGTGAAATATGATAAAACTGACTATTTGGGAGGGGGAAAAAAGGAAATTATCATTGATTTTATTAACTTTACTCAAGATAATTTTCCTGAGATGTCCTAAACATTAAAATTCATAATGTTTTGCTTTAAAAATCACATTACAGGGCCCTCCCTGGTGGCGTAGTGGGTTAAAGCACAGTACTAAGGAGCTAAAGCCACTTCAGCATGAGTTCGATTCCAGCCCTGGAGGTGACCACATGGCACAGCAGACCTCTCCTGTCTTGCCCACTGCTCCCCTCAGCAGTATACTTTGTTAATCTGTCTCTGGTGAATCCTCTGAACCTGAACCTATGGCCTGTACCCAACTCTGTATGCATAAATAAATAAATCTTGAAAAAAAATCACATTACAAATAATTCTTACCTTGCTCTCTCTTTCTAATTCACTTCTCAGCCATTCAAAATCACTGTATCTTCTTCTAACAGTAGATTCCTTCAGCTTGAAAATAGGTAGATTTGTCTGAAATAAACAAAAATGTCACTCCAAGTTGAAACACGTTACAGGGACTTCAAAAAGGGGGAAGGGGAACCTGTTTGTCAAATTAATAACATAACATGCTCAGGTACCTTAAGATAAGAAAAACATCACGTTATTAATATGACAGTTTTACCTCAAAAGAAACAAAACCTGGCTGTTAAAAAGTATGTTATTTAAACTAGATTACAACTTTTAAAATGAATGTCTGCAATATGCTTTTAATGTCATTTTGTTTAAGGTTCATTACATAAATAAAGGTCATTTTTCCTATTTCAACGAGCTATAAAAATGTCACTGAATAGGGTGAGATACATCTAGCTCTGATTACTAGCCAGTTTAGACAGTACCTTAGTGTACAATATTCACAGGTGAAGAAGACCTTAACTACATTGAAATGGTAATCAAAATATTTGATTAGTACTAAATTAGATAATACATAATGAAAGAAATGAATCGAGGATTATTCTTCATGGTTGTCTTAAAAATCTTACTAAGGAGTGGAAAAGAGTACGTTTCTTCACCAGATGGAAACTAGTAGTGACACCATTAGATAAGATTCACAGATCCATATTTTTACATGCTGAGTGCAAACTTAAGAACTAAATGTAATGCCCAGGACCTTAAAGTTACATAAAAATGGAAGAAAATTTTTTGATATTGTCCTATAAAAGATTACGAAGACTGGTTCCTCCCTGGTGGTGCAATGGATTAAAACACCACATTACAAAGCCCTCAGAAGCACTGCAAGCATGAGTTCGATCCCCACCCCAGAGGTGACGTGACCCACATGGCGTGGCAGACCTCTTCTGACCTGCCCACTGCTCCCCTCAGCAGTGTACTTTGCCAATCAACCTGTTCTGTTCCCCACTTTGTCTCTGGTGAATCTTCTCACCCACCACACCTCTGGCCTGTACCCCAGTAAGCATAAATAAATTAATCTTTAAAAAAAATTATGAAGACTACTATTAACTTTAAAAAAATACCAAGATTCCTATTATATTTTGCTGATCCCTATAAAAAAGAAAAGTCATGCCAAATCCAATTTAACATGGCTTGTGATTATGAACTATTAGCAAAGCTAATAGTTCTTGACTTTATCAAGAATCGACTTTAAAATGTACATATCACAAAGTTTACAAGGAACAGAAATTATCTGTCATCAGTAAAGCCATACCACACTGAAAATGACATTTAATATTATGTGCCCTTATATTCTTTACTTAATTAAGCATTTGCAGAACTACAAACTGTTTTACAGCTGAAAAAAAGGTTAAAAAGGTTTCCTATTTTGTATACAGAGGCTCCATCATAAAATTCATTCCTAAGAAACTCTCAATCATTTGTTAAACTTAATGCCACTTGGTAAGTAATTGTCATTCAGCAAAAGATAAAAGCTTTTTATTCAGGACCTCAAATCCATTTTGTAGTAGCCTCGTTTTTTTTCCCAAAGTGTATTAACTTCTCTATGTTGTATACCTTATAGCTTGAAATCTTCTACAAATGGTATTGGGCACAACACTGTATAGGTTTCAATCGTGAAACCAAATCTCACAAGAGGTTTAAAAGCACTTGAATTTTCTTTCCCAGGTAACCACAACATTTGTTCATTGTATTAATGACTAAGAGCAAAATTGCACCTAACAAGACTCTTATTATACTAAAAGTCAAGCTTATATTTAGAGATGCTGGCTTGCTGTACAGAGGGGTATTCTCATTCCCTATAGGGAATAAAATTAGGTCCCCTGGAGAGCAGGATGATAATTCCCAGAAAGAAAGCACTGGATTATTTCTCTCTAATTTCACCCATTGGCTTTTTAACCAAGTTCACCCTTCCGCATTAAAATATTAAGTCTTTGTAAGTGTCTAAAGATAGAAAGGCCTTTACAGAATTGAGTGTTTTCTGCAGGTGAGATTTTACATTTTGAATTCCCTCCTCTCAAATTACTTCACAAAAGGGATTAGCTGCTCTCTTTATTCAGAATGTTAAGATCAAGCTTGTGAAAAGAGTTCCCTAAGAATTTTCATACTTCTGGGTACGGAAGTCTATAAAGTTAATCTCTGAAACAACATATCAAGCTTACAGGTACAATGTTGAGGGAAGAGTGCCAATTCAGCTCATTTTACCTTCAATTTTCCCTTTTGAACTTTTGACACAATCATGATTATATCTCACTTTAATAGAAGAGGGGTGGGTGAGAGAAGTTCATTTCTTTCTAAGATCAATCATTCGATAGATCATATATAAAAAATTCTCTTAGTTTTCTCAGATAGCTGATTTCTCTTTATATGAGGACTGCTTTAGAGTTGATATTATTTTTCTTTTTAAGATTTATTTATTTATGCATACAAGAGCTGGGTTTAGGCCAGGGTGTAGGGGGAGTGGGAAGATTTGCCATAGACAGATTGGGGAGCTAAACAGGCAGATCTACTGAAATACACTGCTGAGGGTGCAGTTAATGAGACAGCAGAGGTCAGCGGTCCCGCGTGGGTTAGGTAGCTCCCTGGCGAGGTGGGGTCATGAAGCTAGTCTAGCTAGCAATTGCTTCATAGTGCTGAGACTTAACACCTTGCACCACTAGAGAGGCCCAATTCTTAATTCTATTTTCTTTTTATGTTTATAGTAAATTTGTCTACTTACTTCTTCCTAATCATCACAATGATATTCAACATACACACATAGAAAATGCTGAGTTTTTTGTGAAAGCCAATGAGCTTTCACCATTAATCACAAAACTCTCACTGACTGGTCACTTTCAATTTTCTTAATTCTTATAAAATGTTGTATTTTGGTCTTCTAAAGAGAGAAGAGCTAAGAATAATTTTCTTTCCCTACAGTTTTGGGAGGATTCAACTCTTACTACAATTTGGGAACATCCGTAAAATGGCATAGTACTAGATAAAGTAGGGAACTGAATGAAACACAGGATGTAATTTAGCCCTTATGAAGCTAATATTACAGAGACTGTAAGTATATAAAAAGTTAAATTTACACATTTAAAAATATGATAAACTGTAAGGAAAACAAAACAGAAGACAAAATAGCAAATTGTAGACAAATATTTACAACACAATAGGCCTAAAATTTCATTAAAATATAAAGCAATTAGAAAAAAATACATAAAGCAATTAGAAATCAGTAAAAAATAATGAACAATCTGACAAAACTGGCAGACCACAGAAAAACCAGGAGCCAAGAATGTTCAACAACTTCACTTACCCAAGAAATGCTCAGCAAAAATAAGATCCTATTTTCGTTTTTCAGACAGGCAGGTATTAATTGTAATACTCAACCGTGTTGAGGATAAAGAGAAAGGCATCTGAAAAGCCACTGAGAGTAGTGAAAACTGGTACAACTTTTTAAAAAATATTTATTTATTTATGCACACAGAACTGGGATATAGGCCAGAGGTACAGGGGCAGTGAGAGGTTTCACCACAGACAGAGTGGGGAGCAGAACAGGCTGACTGATGAAGTACACTGCTGAGGGGAACCGTGGGCGGGTCAGGAGAGGTCTGCCACGCCATGTGGGTCACCTCAGAGGCTGAGAATCGAATTCATGCTGCAGTAGTTTTAACTTCTTAGTGCTGTGTTTTAACCCACTGTGCCACCAGGAAGGGCCCGAAAACTGGTACAACTTTTAATGAGGGCATTCTGGTGACATCTATGCCTTTTTGAACCAATACTAAAATGTACAAGGCCACCCCAGATGCCATTATTGCATTTGAATTCAAAACCCATTTTGTGGTGGTAGGACAACTAAGTGACTTTAGCATAGTTT